TTCATATATTTTAAGCCCTGCTACTTTGCCAAATTCTTCTATTTCTTGTATTAATGTTGTTCCTGTCTCTAGTGGGTCTTCTATAATAAAAACCAAATCGTTGGCAAAGGCTTGTATTTTATACTCTTCCTTTTTTATTCTTAATCCTATTATTTCTTGCTTTTGCCTAATGTGTCAGTAGAATTTCTAATGATAAATAAAAGGGGAGATAATGGTCATCCCTGTCTTACCCCTTTGGTTATGTTAAATTTGTGCGTTATTTCCCCGTTTAGTATTATTTTTGCTGTTTGAGTGGAATATATCGCCCTGATCATCCCTATAAATTTTTCTCCAAAGTTCATAATATTTAATTGATTAATGAGGAACTGCCAATTTAAGTTATCAAAAGCTTTTTGCGCATCCACAAATATCAGTGCTATTTGCTTCTCGGGATGGGCTTCATAGTATTGAAGTGTTGAATGCCCCAACACTGGAAATTTTTAAGATGATGTTGGATAACCATTTGTCTGAAGTTGTGTAGAGTTTCCTGCCCGGGCAGGGGGTTAGACTCGAAGACCTCCAAGGTCCCTTTCAACTCTGTTATTCTATTCTATTCTATTCTATTCTATTCTATTCTATTCTATTCTATTCTATTCTATTCTATTCTATTCTATTCTATTCTATTCTATTCTATTATTCTATTCTATTCACACATTCATTATCATTCTTGTATTATTTCTCAATTCCCTTTTTAGTAAAAACACATTTTGATCAGGGTTAATAATTTCATTTAATATTTTTTTAATTCTTTCCACAATTATTGTGACAAATATTTCGTAGTTGGCATTTAGTAGCGAGATTGGCCTACAGTTTTTGATCTGTTGACTATCTGTACCCTCTTTTAACATTAGCGTAATGTATGCCTCTATCCATGAGTTTGGTAATCTGGCTTGTTCTAATGCTTCATTATATAGGTCCAGCATTGGTGTCCCAAGTGGCTTTTGAATTTTTTTGTATAGTTATGTAGGGATTCTGTCTGGCCCTGGTGTTTTATTATTTTTTTGTTTTTTAATTGCCTCTTTCATCTCCATCATGGTGATTTTATTGTTCAGCATTTCTGTTGCTATATCCGGAATTGTAGGCAGATCCCTCTCAATTAAGTATTGCTTAATATTTTCTTCTGATATATCCTCTTGGCTATATAATTTTTAAAAAATATTTTGGGTAATGTTTTTTTTTCTTCTGTCTGATAGTGAAGGTTCCCATTCTCGTCTTGCAATTGTTTTATTAGTTTTTTCTCTTTCTCTTTCTTCAATTTGTGCAACAGCCACCTCCCTGTTTTGTTCACATGTTTGAAGAAGTTTTGTTTTGCCATTCTAAGGTTTTTTGCCATTTCTTGTGTCATTAGATTTATTTTATGTTTTACTAAGTCCCTTTCTCCTTTAATTTTGTCATTTTGGGGTTCTTTTTGCAATGCAAGTTCCAATTCTTTAAGTTTTTCCTGCAATACCATTTGTTGTTTCTTCTTTTCCTTATTCCTTCATGCCACATAAGATATTGTGAAGCCCCGGATATATGTTTTAGTTGTGTCCCATAGGTTTTGCAACATTGTTTATTGTTTATGTGTAAGTCTCAGTTCTCTCTTTGCTCTTGTCTCTCTTTGCGCTCTTGTCCTCGCACCTTCTCTTTCCTGGTGTTCCATTTCCTTCCATTCTCTTACATTTTGGTCTGACTCTTTTTCTTCTAATTGCTGTTCTTCTTGGCTTATGTTTTCTGTATCTTCTCTTCTATCTTGTTCTTCATCTGCAGCTAGGTAGCATTTTGAAAGGGGTCTGTTTGTATTAAATGGAGTTTTTGGAGCTGTGTGTGTGTGCTACACTTCTTGGGATCCGTAGCTGGGGCAGAACAATATGTATATAGATATAAGAGTAGCATATATACAAAATAGCTATAAAGTTATATCTGGTTTATATTTTTTTACTGTTAATAGGTATGGTCCATTGTCCAAGTGTCATGGAGAAATCTCCTTTAGGGTCACTAATTATAGTCAATAAGGTCCACCAATATTTGGAGATAACTGACAAATTCTTTGTCTATTTGTATTGCTATTGCATCAGCTGTTCTTTGTCTCTTTCTTTCTAAAATGTCACCCTCCTCCTATTTAGCACAGTCACCATCTCTTCTCCACTTCACCATCTCTATCCAAAACTTCTTATAGGAATTCTCTTTCCAAACTGCAAAGATTCGTCATAATCCCAGTCCAAATGCTTAGTCTATCCTTAAGATTTCCAGGAAGTACCAACTCAGACCTTCAATCACTCCTTCCTCTTGATCTGTCAATATCAGTATCTGTCTTCTCAAGCCTCTGCTCCCACCGCTAAATCACCACTTTTTTTCCACCTTGGAGACTCACTTATCAGCGGATATAGTTCGTAGGTCTCAAGATCTCAGAGGGTCAATCAGGATCAATCAGGTATCTGATTTGAGTTCGTCAATCTCCTCCGATATTTCACGCTACTTCCCTCTCTTCTCTTCCTACTGCATTCAAACAGGCTGTCACACCTCTGGATCCACCTTAACAGCCGATCTCTTTCATGCCAGATTCAAGAGGTTTCTCTTACTGTAATGGGAGATCACTCTTCTCCCTGTTACCCCCCGAGCTTCCCCTCTATATTGCTGGTCCCTCCAGGATCCAGCTTCGCCCCTAAGGGCCTCCAAATGTGAAAAATTGGGCAAAAGAAATGGAGCCCCATTTCATTCACTCCGTGCCACCATGATGTCACCACTGGAAGTCCAAAAGGCTTCAAATTTAATTGAATATATATAATTAAGCTAAAAATGCAATTCCAGTAAATTAGGATTTGCTCACAGAAATTCCCAGATTAACAGGGTGGGGGAGTATGAAGTGCATGTGTGGGGGCGTGCATGAGTGGGGGGCCTGCGCATGTGCAATGTGGGACAAATTCACAGGAGGAGCATGGGGGGTTGTCCACGCATGCACATGTAGGTGGGTTTGCACTGCATTATGGGTGCTGGCATGCGCGCACACACACACTTTTGGCATGCAACAAGAAAAAGGTTCGCCCTCACTGGTTTATGGGATTGACATGTTTTAGGGAAACAAGGCCAAACTGCCTTGGATTTCACATGTACATATGCGGTCCCATCAGAAGTGTAGCCTCCCCCCCCCCCCCGGAGTTATTCTAGGGGCAGAGCATATAGGAATCGTTGGAAGAAAAATCTGGTCTGGTTCCAATCCGGGAGAAAGATGCTGGAAATAAAATGGAGACAGGCTGGAAGGAACGAAGTTCTCTGTTTATTTAGTTGCCAGTAACTTTAGTAACAGAAGCATGTTTCTGGGGTGGCTGACAAATTAGCTTGGTGAGTGCACGGATTTTTATACAGTTAACAATATTTTGTAATTTTGAGGTGTGCTTTTATTATTTGATTGGTTTTACTTGTTTAACAAAGGCTCATTATGGGTCTTAATTATCAGCTTCCCTTGGTCCTAATCCTGTCCCGCATGTGTAATTGATTTTATCCTGTTATCCTTGATCTGTCTATTGCCTCTAGCATGCTTTTCTTAATGGATCGGCACGCTTGAGTCATTGTTTCTCAACGACTGGGGTACTCAAGTTTATGATTGCAACACTGTTTCTCTTTCACAGCTTGAGCTCAGGTTTGTTTGCCTGCAACTATTTTCTATTAGAGGAAGAAAAAAAAATGGAGATGGTGTTCGTTTACTTTTAGCAGCTTCTGTATTTCTTTTCCTTTCTTTTTAGTTTTATTCTAGCGATTTTGGCACATACTCAGAAGGATTGGGGTGGGATGCATTCTTACCACAGAACGAATGCTGTGTTACAGATGCCCTTTTGCAGTTTACGGATCCAGGAAATCAAACGAGTGAATTTGGAATCCCAAACTTCCCTCGCCTTAAATTCACGCTAGGCATACATTCCACAAGTAAAGATAAATGTTTAGTTTATAAGTACCAGATCAGTACTGTACATTTATTTTTAAGTAAGCTATGGCAGCTGTGGAGTGTGTGGAATAAGGAAAAAACATTGTGGACTCCTAAGTATAACATAAAAGGCTATAGCGTCAACTGGTCTTCAGTTGATCGTTCCAAGAACCTTGCTAAGCATCGGAATGGCTCGAAGGAATTTTTCAGAGCAAGCGTTCCTGCAATTGAGACACAAGCGCATACAGAAGCACGCACACAAACATTCCGAGGGGCGGATTTTGGGTTTCCGCTGGAACGTCCGCTGGTTCCTCGGAAATTGAGTTGAATCATGGGAATTCTGGGAGTTGAAGTCCACAAGTCTTTAAAGGGCCATAGTTCCCTACTCTTGTAATCTACGCTAATAAATTTGCTTTCCATGTGCCACGAGTGTCTTTACTTCCAGTACAATAAACTTGACAGTTTCCCCTCCTAGACCCTACCTATACTATACGCTGTCGCGAGGAGGGGACTTCAAGCCTTCTAGCTGCCTGTCTCCCTTCTACATTTTCATGATATTAAATACATAGTGAGAAATTACGCAGTGAGATTTTTCTTCCGAACCCGGCCATTTCCCAGTTAGTGAAACGCAAAGGTGCTTTTCAAAAGGCAACTGGACTTTCACTGAAGAAACTTCTTGGATGAGAAGCGAAACGTCTTCAAGGAAAGTCCAGTTGCCTTTTGAAAAAGCACCTTGGGGACAACCATGACCTGGTTAACTGAGAATCTCCACAAACGCATAGTGAAACGTTAGCGAGCGTTAAAAAGCTTTCTCGAGAAAAATGAAAATCCAGGGGTGCAAGTAGGTGGAAAAGATGTGCGTTCGGACTTTTTAAATAATTATGATTTGAATAAAACGTAAAAACAACAAAGACTTCCGCTGTTCTTCACGCAATATGTTAATTCCCCAGTATTTCCATTTAAAGGAAGCCGTCTATCAAGTGCAAAGTAGAACCTGAAGTTAACGCCAAGAATCAAACACTCAACACACTAGGTTTCTCCCGGTGCTTTTTTCCGGAAGTCTCTTTCTCAGGAAATGCGGTTGCCTCACCCTAGTTCCGAGGGACATTTTGTTCCGGGCCGTAAACTGTGAATCGCGGCTTGGTCGCCGTGGCCACTTTTGTTTTGCTTTGCTGCCGTCACTATGATTCCCCTGCCTGTGGTGGTCTGCGTGCTGGGGGGTTGGTGCACCATATACATAACCGACACGGTACTGAAGGTAAGACGGGAGCCTTTCCCTTTCTTAGGCCCTTGTATGGGAAATCTTTGCGGGCGATAGGTTCCTCAAGTCTTCAGAGGAGGAAGAAGAGCAGCTCATAGCGGCCACGAGCCTTTTCCATGTTCTGCACAACTCTCGCTCGGGCTTTGCCCACCTTGCCTCGTTTGCAAGGCCTGATCTGTTAGCGGTTTTCGAGGGAAAATTACACGCTTCATTTATCCAAAAGTTGCTCACACCCTTCACCTCCAACCTCTCTAAGTTTTATTTTAAGACGTGCAGAGTAAGACCGAAACGTGATTGGTTCCTCTGCTGACCACTTGTCTCTCTTAGGTGCTTTATAGGCGCGGGGATGGGCCAGAAATAAGGCTGGTTAGGCTGCCTCAGCCGCCCAAGGAAAAAGGATCCAACCTTTTTTGTATGCGGCTTTGTGAGTGTGGGAGCCACTTTTTGTACTGGTAATCCTGGACTTACAACCACAATTGAGCCCACAATTTCTGTTGCTAAGTGAGACATTTGTTAAGTGAATTTTGCCCCTTTTTATGACTTTTCTTGCCACCATTATTAAGTGAATCAGTGCAGTAATTAGGTTCATAACATGGTTGTTAAGTGAATATAGACTTTGCTTGTCAGAAGGTTGCAAAAGGCGATCATATAACCCCGGCGTACTGCCCTTGTTATAAATGAGTCAGTTGTCAAGCATTTGAAGTTTGATCATGTGACCTTGGGGATGATGCAAAGGTTGTAAGTTGTAAGTGTGAAAAATGGTCACAAGTCCATTTTTGCAGTGCCATTGTAATTTCGAACAGTCACTAAACAAACTATTATAAGTCGAGGACTACCTATACTTTTTTACGTGATCACTGTAACCTTCCCAGAGATCTGGCATTGGACAAGCAAAGTCAACAGGGGAAGCCTAATCCATTTAATGACTACATGATTCACTTAACAACTGCAGTGATTTACTTAGCTGTGGCAGAAAAAGTCATAAAATGGGGCAAAATCTACTTAGCTGCTTTATTTAGGAATGGAAATCGTGGGCTCAATTGTGGTCATAAGTGTATTCAGAATGAATTAGGCACATGTTTTCAGTTTGGAAGTGCATACACTGCAGTCACAGTAACATTCCCCAAGCCTTGCAAATCTCTTCAACTTCTGTTGTCAAATTCTGGTTCTTCTCATTTCATTTTCTCTTTGATTTTGTTTTAAAATGAAATTAAGAATGTGCAGTTTTACTTCAGATATTCATTCATCTCAGTAAGTATATTAGTTTCATTGGTTTCATTGCTATTACAGGAATCTACTGCTGCAATTTCTTTCAAAATAGCAAACCTTTTCCAGAGGTTTGATGTGCATTCCAGAAAAAATATTGATAAATAACGCACTGTTGATGCTTTACATTAAGATATCCAACCTTGGCAACCTTAAGACTTGTGGACTTTAATTTCCAGAATTCCCCAGCCTCCCCTGCTTTACATCCAATCCAAAGAACAGCTGAAAATAGTCAAAAAATATAGCAGAGATTGAATAAGACATAGTCCAAATTCTGCCTCTCCGGTGTGGACTCTTGATTGCCATTATGCTTACAGCAGTTCTGTTGATACTTGGCAAGTTCTTGCCTCTCCTGACATTTTATATTGAAACATAAGAGAGAAAACCAGCTTTCAGCATCATCTTCATTTCATGTCTGTGAACTCCATATGGATCCATATATTTTTTAAGGAAATAAAAATGGTGGATGGCTTGGCTCAGTACTTATTTCAGAAGAATACATATCTTTCAGCAGTAGCATGTTCCACTTACCTTCACTACTGGTTTGGAATCGGGAACGTGCGCAGAGCCTCCCACCGCCACCACTACTGGTTCGCCCGAACTGGGGCGAACCAGTAGAAACCCACCACTGCCTTTCAAGAACAGGATAAATATAAGCATATAAAGAACAAGATAAATATAATACAAGAGAAAGAGGCAAATAATGTTCTGCTATATTGGTGTCTTGTATATAGATAGGGCAGCTATTTTGTGAATGAACCATTTGCTCTTAATAACCATTTTGCTGGAATGTCCATCATGTTCTCAACATACCAGATGTTGGCTTGCCAGCCCTCATTAGTTACGGACTCATTTTCCAGAAGTAAAAGAAAACATGAGATATTTGTGCAATCATACTTCTAATTTGCAAAGTTCTTGAGTTCCTTTTTTGTTTTACTGTATTCACCTTCTCTTACAGTCATCTTCTCTGAAAGAGCCTTATGAGGAATGGCTTGTATCCTATGGACTGTCAGTCTCTCCATTCCATGTGCGATGGCAGACAGCTTTTTTCAACCGCCTTTTCTACACCTGGGGAAGATGGAAGCCAAGATTTCTTTATCTCTGGTATTGTTTCAGAAATACCATTCAGGCGTCTATGAGACAATTACTGGAAATTCTTCCTTCCAATTCTTCCTATCAGAATGGTTACTGTTCTGAAACTGATTGCTTATATGACAGCTAAATAGGATGCCATTTTATTTTAGAGTTCTTTTTTGTACAATGAATGCATGTGTAGGAAATTGGAAACTTAAGTATTTGAATTTGCCATGTGTGCTTACCAAGTTGGAGATGATACTAATTTATAACAATATTTACATGCTTGCTTTAGGTTTAACATAGGGATGGTTTTTGGCATAGCAGCTATGTTTGGTTCTGTGGTTCTGCTTGGGAAGACATTGACACAGACTCTGTCACAGATGTTAACTGAAAACCCTGCTAGTCAAAGTGATCAAATGCTGCAGGTTGTGGTGAGTTTTATTTCTATATTTATAATCTAACCAGTGAAAGAAAACTTAAAATCAGTATCTTACAAGAAATCATTCAGACTTTAGCTATGGCGATATGTCTTAATATTTATTTTTATATTGGAAGATTTCTGGGGCTACTTTTCCAGAACCCAAGGTAACCTAAAGTACCTATGATACATGTAGGCAGAAAAAAAATGTTCAGGAAAATTAAGTATGGCATGTAAACACATAATCAGATAATATTTATGGGGAGGTGAGATAACTCTTCCCCTCCCTATGTTGTAGTTTTATTAATATGTTCTTAATATTTTATTTGCAATAAGCAATCAAATAATATCAAGATAAAATAGTATTAGCACATTAAAATCAAAATATATGCCTTTTAACATGTTTTGCATTCATTTGATCTATGTACAAATTCATTCTATCTGTAGATAGCTATCCAAAACTATTGAATGCAGTGGATTTTGAATAGCGCTTTTTAAAATTGATTTATACCATCAAGTCAGTGTTGACTGTTCGCAGCCATATAGCTTTTCTCCAGGATGAAGCATGTTAACGTATCTTAAATAGACTTTACCAATCTGGTGCCCTCTGTGTGTTCTGGCTGGCCATATATGAAGATTGGCTGAACTAAAGTTGAAAATTTGTGGAGGGACAACAGTTGGAAAAGTCTAATTTATTTTCTGTTTTAAGAACATAAAAAGAGGTAAGTGTCTATGGAGACTCTCAATCACCCAGGTCCTGGTTGTCTTTTTCAAAAGGCAATTAGACTGTTGTTTTTTTCCTTGAAAATGTTTCACTCTCATCCAAGAAGCTTCATCAGTTCTTCAGGATGAGAAGTGAAATGTTTTCAAAGAAAAAATGAAGAAAAGTCCAGTTGTCTTTTGAAAAAGCACCCTTGGGACAATAAAATAAAGTATGCTACTGCCTTTCTTCACTAGTCCTTGTGATTTGGAATTAGGGGTTCTTCAACCAGGATAGTATGTAAATATGACCAGATTATATCTGGTTATAATTTTCCTCTCTTCTGCCTTTTCATGAAAATGAGTTCTTTATAAGAGCACTGGAAAATCTGTAGTAGTTTTTAGGGCAGCTGTGTTAACAGAATGCAGGAAGACCTATCACTGCATCTCTTGCTGCCTTGTATCTTGTTATGTCTTTGAAAACAGGTACCTGGTGTAAACCTTCCCATCAGCCAGCTGTCCTATTTCTTCACAGCAATCCTCATCAGTGGTATTATACATGAAGTTGGTCATGGAGTGGCAGCTATTAGGTAATGCAATCCACATTTTGACTTTGTAACCAGAAAAGTATCATTTGCTAGAAGCCTTAATTTCTATGATTTCTTAATTTCTCATGTTTACATATACAGGTAGTCCTCAAACTACGAATGTAATGGAGCCTGCCAATTACATTTGTAACCTGCGGATTCGTAGGAGTGAATCGCGTAACTTGACTGTGATCACTCCCTGCCCAAGTATTAGCTAATTGAATGTGCAGGTTGTTAAGTGCACATGAGGTATCTCAGGGTGGGGAAGGTCATGGGGGCCTAGCGATGGAACAGGCCACCTGCTTCAAACCACTCAAGGCCTCCCCTGACTCATTGGGTTACTTCATGCTCCTTCCTATGGGGTCCCCACAATTGCTCCCCCCCGTCCTGCCGCAGGTCACTTACCTTGTGAAGATCTGTCTCCTCTCCAGTCTCTTTCCCATGGTTTCTTTGCAGTCTCGGCGTGAAGAGTGTTTGCAAGCTGACAAGATTTTGGGGCAGAGAAATTGTTTGCTTCAAGTCTCTGATTGGCTTGCAAATGCCTTTTGCACCATTCTAGTCTTGGGACGAAGAGCATTTGCAAGACAATGAGACTTTGGGGCAGTGAAATCGCCTTGCTTGAAATCTTCCATCGGCTTGTAAATGCTCTTTGTGCCGAGATTGGAATGGTATGAAAGGCATTTGCAAGCCGATGGAGGCTTCAAGCAAGGCAATTTCATTGCCTCAAACTCTTGTTGGCTTACACGCCCTCTTCAGCCAGATTTGGTACAGGCCTCAGTTCGCAAAGAACAGAGGCCTAAACTACTGTAGTGCAAGATCATGTGAGATCAGTAGTGCAAGATCTCACGCTACTGATCTCATGTGATCTTGCACTACATAAGTTAGGCCTCTTTTCTGCAAACTAAGACCTGCATGAGATCTGGGGCAAAAGGTTGTGCAAACAAAGAGGCCTTCCATCTGTTTGCAAAGCCTTTTGCCCTGGATTTTGTGCAGGCCTCTGTTCTTTGTGAACATTTGCAGAAAATAGAGGCCTAAAGTAGTGAGAGATCACACGAGATCAGTAGCACAAAATCTTGTGTTACTGGTCTCGCACTTTAGTATGTTAGGCCTCTGTTCTCTGAATCCTAACATACTGTAGTGCGAGATCAGTAGCGCCTGATTTTGTGCTACTGATCTCGGGTGATCTCTCACTACTTTAGGCCTCTGTTTTCTGCAAATGCACTGAAGCAGGCAGTGGAATTGACAGCTCACTAGATCGTTGTAAGGTAAATGAGTCTCCATAGGCCGAATGGCTGTGGAGATCCAGGGGGTGGGGAATAGGTAGGGGAAATGTTGCACCTCTGTCATTGTTCATAAGTGTGAATGATAACTGTAGTGCTGCGACATTTGTAACTTCGGGACGGTTGTAAGTTCTTGGGGGGAGGGTAGGTTGTAACTTTGAACAGTGCTAAGTGAACTGTCATAACTCGGATTATCTGTATGAGAATATATGGGCTTCCAAAGAACAAGCAAGAAAATAAATTCTCAAAAACAAACAAAACAGAAAGGAGATAAAATGATCGAGAATCTTGCAATGATTTTCCACTCAAAAGGAACTAGGCTACCCTTTATGAGTACATAGGATACCTAACCTTAAGATCATCATCTGCTACCATGTTTCCCTGAAAATAAGACCCAAGCAGAAAATAAGCCCTAGCATGATTTGTTAGAATGCTCCTAAGTATAAGCCCATTTACATATACTTCTCATGCACTAGGGGAGAAAGCCAACTGTCAACTTCCAACTGAAACTGGCAGCAGCCATCTTTCTATTTCTCAGTTGCCACACAGAGGGGGAAGGGAGGAAGGAGGTTGGAATGCATTACTAGACACAACAAAGAGCTTTCTCATGAGAACCAAGGTTGTCTCTAGTGGCAACAGATAAGGTTGAAGGAGTGCCTGAAGAGCCAGCCAATTAACCCAATTGGCCAATGTGACCTGTGACACTTGGGGTTGGGATTATGTCCTAGTTTAATTATAGTGAAACTGCGGGAAAGATTTAAACTTGATTTTCCTTTGAAGCTGTGCCAATATGATATACTCAATAGAGAAGATGCTTGAGAAGGATCCTAGTCTCAGAGTTCTGATTTGCTTGGGTTCATTAGTCAGAGCCTTGACATTTTCCAGTATCTTCCCGGGTATTGATGTTAGGCTGATTGGTCTGTAGTTTTCTGGGTCTATTTTTTTTTCCCTTTTTTAAAGATGGGAACCACATCAGCTCTTTTCCAGTTTTCTAGTAGTTCCCCGGTGCTCTAGGATTTTTGAAAGATGTGATGCAGTGGTTCTGAGATGACATTTGCCAGCTCCTTTAGAACTCTGGGATATAATGTGTCACATCCCGGTGATTTGTATTCATCAAGATCAGACAGGTGTTCTCTTACCATTTTTTTTGCTTATTTTAACTTTTATTTCATAACTGTCTTTTACAGTTATGTTTTTGGTAGATTGGGCTATAGTTTCTTTTTGCATGAAGACTGATGCAAAGAATGAGTTAAGCAGTTCTGCTTTCTCTCTGCTGCCTGTTACTTCCTTGCAATCTTCCCTCTTTAGTGGACTAACTGTTTCCTTGACTTTTTTCTTGTTATTAATATGTTGAAAGAAACTTTTTAAAATTATCTTTGTCTTTTGTTGCAAGTCTTTGTTCATTCTGAGTCTTTGCTTTCCTGACTTCGTCTTTGCAGATTCTGGCTATCTGCTGATATTTTGCCTTATTTATATGTCCCTCTTTCCATTTTTTGTACTTGTCCTTTTTGCCTTTCAGTTTATCAGAGAGATCTTTGTGCAGCCATCCTGGTTTCTTCCTGGATTTCTTGTTTTTCTTTTTCAGTGGAATTGTGCTTGACTGGGCTTTTATGATCATATTTTTCAGAGTTTCCCAAGCTTCTTGAGTTGTTTTCCCCTTTATGATTTTCTCCAAGGAATCTTTCCCAAGTTCTCTCTGAGTTTGTTAAAATCAGCTCTTTTAAAATCTAAGACTCTGGTATCATTGTGTTCTAATGCTTGTGTTTGCATTATGTTGAATTCCAGTATGATGTGGTCACTTTCACCCAAGATTCCTGCGGTTTCAACTGCCTCTATCATTTATTAGTAAGAATTAGGTCCAGTATAGCTTTACTTCTAGTTCCTTCTTCTACCTTTTGGACAACAAAATTGCCAGCAAGATTGGTCAGGAACTTAATCAATGTCTCACTTGGTGCAGAATTAGTCTTCCAGTTGATGTCAGGGTAATTGAAGTCCTCCATTACTCTTCTAGTGTGTTTCCTACTGTGTTTCCCCAAAAATACAACCTACTCTGAAAAGCCTGATTTTCACCCTTGTCCCTAATATAAGCCCTACCCCAAAATAAGCCCTTAGTTAAGCCCCACCCATCATCTGGTTGCACGAGGTGGGGCTAGGCGAACGTGTAAAAATCAAGCTAGGGCGGAGGGAGGATGAAGCTGCCCCATGCACCCTGCATTTGTTTACCTTAGGACTGCCACAGCCAGACCTCCCACACCCGACACCTGTCACATCACTGCCCGAGTTCTTTTGCAACTACTTGTGGCTGCTCACAGCTAGACGCCACATGCTGCATTGCACTGGTGCTGGCAACTCAAGAGCAGGGGAATGTGACTGATGACACAGCTGCAGCCGCTCATGGCAGCACGCCACGTGGGTCATGCCGGTGCTGCCGCTTGCGGCAGAATGCTACAAGGCTTGTCATGCCGGTCCTGACACTCACGTGCGCAATGTCGCAACACACCATGCAACCTCCTGCCGTGAGTTGTGGCATTGACATGACAAGCGACACACATCCTGTCGTGAGCGGCAGCACTGGTGTAACGAGCTATGCGGCATCTGGCCACGAGCAGCTGCAGAAGTTGGGCAGCAGCACAACAGGGGTCAGGGCATGGGAGTCATGCCTGTGGTGATCCTAAGATAAGCGGATAAGACATGCCCCAAAAATAAGACGTGGTGCTTATTTTGAGGCTGAAAAAAAATAAGATTGGGTCGCAAAAATAAGACTGGGTCTTATTTTTGGGAAAACACAGCACATATATTTGTTAATTGGTTAGCAAAAAGTGCATCTATTTTTTCTGCTTGGTTGGGTGGCCTGTAGTATATACATCTATGGCAATGTCATCCTTTTTTTCTTTTATATTGACCCATAAGCATTCTAGGAGGTTTTCGTCTTTGGTTTTGTGCAGTTCTGTAGCAATACAGTCGTCTTTTACATATAGTGCAAATCCACCTCCTCTTTTAGGGGACCTGGGTTTTTTTAACAGTTTACATCCTATCAGTATGTTCCAGTCATGGGTTTCATCCCACCAAGTTTCTGTAATTCCAACTCTATCGTATCTACCTTCATGTTCAGGGTAATTCAAGTTCACCCTGTTTGTTCTGCAAACTTTGTGCATTTGTATATATATGAGATCTTTATGTTTATCTTTAACATACTCTGGGTATGTTCCCTATGTCTCCTATTTGGTGTTTGAGTTTGTCTTCCTTCCGATTCCTCATTACCTCATTATTTGATTTATCTTCTAGGGGTTTTTGCTTGTAATTAGGTCCTGGAGATTCTAAAGATTGGTCATCCCCCCTCAATTTTAGTTTAAAGCCCTCCTGATAAGTTGAGCCAGTCATTTTCTGAAAACATTCTTTCCAGTTTTTGTGAAGTGGAGCCCCTTGCCAAAGCCCATCGCGGAGGTAGTGCACACCATGGTCCAGGAATCCAAGGTTCTCTTGGCGACACCAACCCTTTAGCTAGTGGTTCGCTTCTAGAATCCTTGTCCTCTTACTGGATGTTGACCTTTTGTTGGCACTACAGATGAAAAAACTACTTGTGCACCTAACTCCTTAATTTTCTTGCCTAACTGCTCGTAATCAATAGTGCTTTTAGTGTCATTCATCCCTATGTGTAGTAATAGAAAAGGGTAGTAATCTGCGGGTTTAATTATTTTGGTTAGGTTCTCAGCTACATCGTTGATTTTTACTCCAAGAAGACAACATACGTTTCTTGATTGATTGACTGTCTGGTCTACAGACAGCTGGTTCTGTTCTCTTGAGAATTGAATCTCCTATCATCAACAGTCACCTTTTTTTTTCCTAGGGAGACTTGGGGTACTTTTCTACCTGTCACAAGCACTTGATGATGCTACATTGTTAGGGACATTTGGTGATGCTTCTTTTCTAGGTGTCTGCATGTTTTGCTGTCCCCAGCCTCCAGGGCCTCTCTAGGAGACTGGGGAGGGCAAAAACTGCCTTCCCCAACCCCCAGAGGTCCCCCGGAGGCTGAAAACGGCCCATTTAACAACTTCCAGTCCCATTGGAAGTTGTTAAATGAGCCATTTTCGGTCTCCGGAGGACCTCTGGGGGGGTGGGGAAGGCCATTTTCACCCTCCCCAGACTCCTAGAGAGACCCTGGAGCCAGGTGAGAAAGAAAAATGGACCTACCAGGCCATCGTGTGCCAGGAGTGGGGGGAGCGGGGGGTCATATGGGCATGTGCCGGGGGCAGGGCACATAGAATTATGGGTGTGGGCATGCACGTGCATGACCCCCCCCCCCTCCAGCATGTGATGGCAAAAAGGTTAGCCATCACTGCTCTACACTATTTCCTTTTACTGCTTGAGAGGTTTTGGGGCCAGGATGATAACTTTGTACTTTTTCTTTTTTGTCTTTTTCTTTCTTTTTTTCCCTTTCTTTTTCTTGGCCACAAGTCAAATATTTCTTGAAAGAAAAAACTAAATAACAATAGCACTTAGGCTTATATCAGGTCCGCCTGATACGCCAGTCTAGATCGGGACTCCTTATGCACGGTCACTCAGGCACTCGTCACTTCCCGCCTGGACTACTGCAATGCTCTCTACATGGGGCTCCAGTTGGTCCAGAATGCGGCCGCGCGGGGGATTATGGGAGCGACGGGGCGCTCCCATGTGACACCTCTCCTGCGCGAGCTGCACTGGCTTCCTGTGGTCTTCCAGGTGCGCTTCAAGGTGTTGGTGATCACCTTTAAAGCGCTCCATGGCTTAGGACCGGGGTATCTACGAGACCGCCTTCTGCCACCAATAGCCTCCCACTGGCCAGTTCGCTCGCACAGAGAGGGCCTCCTCAGGGTGCCGTCGGCCAGACAATGTCGGCTGGCGACCCCCAGGGGGAGAGCCTTCTCTGTGGCGGCACCTGTCCTCTGGAAGATCTACCCCCAGAGATACGCATGATACCAGACCTCCGGACTTTTCGTCGGGCCCTGAAAACACATCTATTTCATCTAGCCGGGCTGGCTTGATCCCATCCTTGCGGTTTTAATTTGTAACTGGTTTTAACTGGGTTGTTTTAAATTGATGGCCAAAATTATTTAATGTCTTTTAAATTGCTTTTAAATTTTATATGTTGTGTTTTACCATGGCTGTTCACCGCCCTGAGTCCTGTTGGAGAAGGGCGGTATACAAATAAAATAAAATAAAATAAATAAATATACTGCTTCACAGGGCTTTACAGCCCTCTCTAAGAGGCTTACCGAGTCAGCATATTACCCCCAACAATCTGCGTCCTCATTTTACTGACCTTGGAAGGATGAAAGGCTGAGTCAGTCGTGAGAATCGAACTGCTGGCAGCTGGCAGTCAGCAGAGGTAGCCTGCAGCATTCTAACCACTGCGCCACCACAGGGCTTGTCTGATTCTGATTTCTATAGTCTATTCATTTATTTTATTTGTCAAATTTAGGTACTGTCCATCTCTCAGAGTTATGCTCACAGTTACTTGTTGCTCATATTACCTATTATTGTATCACTTACTTCGTCAATTAGTACTTTTGTGTTTCTAGTATATCTAATAGATCACTTTCAAAATTCATCATACTGAACTACTGCTGTTTGTACTCTTGTGTTAAAAATGATGGCTGTTCTTATGTTCTTAGTGCAAATGCTAGTTTTGATCAAATGTCGGAGGGTGCCCCATTTCATAATATATAGTATCTGTGAAATGCTGTAGCAGCAGTTCAGTTAGTAGTGTTCTGGTATGTTGTAAAATTTTATCTCTTAGGAGATACATTGGAATGAAAACCGGTTCTTTTGTGGGAAAGCAAACACGACTGCTTTAGAGACCATATTTGATGAAGAATTACCTTCTGGGCCCACAGTACAAACCAGTTTCACTTGATTCCATGATAACACAGAGCAGTAGTCACTAACTGGTGGTGCATGGACCACTGGTGGTACGCGAGAAAATTTTGGTTGTAGGCAGAAAAATTATTTGCATTTTTTATATTTCACTAAATCAGGGATCCTCAAACTACAGCCCCTGGGCCAGATACATGCAATGAATGCTTTTGTTACTGCAGAGAGTCTCCCCCTTCGGGGTCTTTTTGTGTGGGTCGGAGGGGGGCAGAAATTCTGACTTGGGGTCTGCTTCAGCCTCCTGATACGGGGCTTTGGGCGAAGGCTGGGGAGAAGTGCCGCTGGTGGCGAAGAGCCAGAGGGCCTTGTTCCAGTGGGATTGTATCATGGCCTGGAACTGGCTGACTATCTTAGCTCACTGAGCCTCCAGGTGCTGGTTCCTAGCCTTGCACTCACGCAGGTCTTCTCTCTGTTTGGAAAGCCTATGCTCGTAGTCCTCAATGGGGTGCTTCTGTGCCTCCTTCTCAGTCAGATCCAGTTTGAACTGAGCCAGCTGTTTTGCCAACTGTTTCTCATGGTGGCTGCTTAGCTCCAACAACTGCTTCCTGTTGGGGCCCTAAGGAGCCCAGGCCGGCAGGTGAGGAGTGGCTGGGAGGGCAGAGGCAAGTAGAGGCTGGCGAGGTGCCCCTCGACATGAGTGACATAAAGTTGGCCACGCTCACCCAGTCACATGACCACCTAGCCACGCCCACCCACCGGTCATTAGGTAGATCATATTAGTGGTCCACAGGATTTAAAATTATAAATTTAGTGGTCCCTGAGGTCCAAAAGGTTGATGACCCCTGACACAGAGTGACTGATAAGGAAGGAGTTAACCTGAATTTTTTTTCTAATTTCTATTTCACTATAAACTATTGTCTTTCAATTATCTTTATGTTTGCTACCATAGCTTTAGACTACTTCTTTTTCTTTCATTGAACAGATCTGTTATATTGTGCTGGTTAGACATTGAATAACAGATCAAAAAACCCCTTTCCTAGCTCCTTTGATCCTTAAACAAACCATAGTTGGTTATATACTGTACCCCTTTTTGGAGGGTAATAGTTCTGCCTGCAGATTGTGCTAAAGATTATAGTCAGATAATTGAAGTAAAGCACACAATACATAGAATAAAATTACATTAACTGCTATTCAGAATATGATTATGATTATTATTTTATTCTGAAATAACATTCTTCTTAGGTTAATGGCAATTCATCTGTATCACTATAGTAGTAGACATAGAAAATAAAATTCCATGCAGATACAGTGAAGCATGTTGATCTGTTTGGTTACATATATTTGATTCAATCTTAAAAAAATATTTTCTATTGCTTTTTAGAGAACAAGTTCGGTTTAATGGCTTTGGAATTTTTATATTTATTGTCTATCCTGGAGCATTTGTTGACCTATTCACTACTCACTTACAACTAATATCTCCCATTCAGCAGCTAAGAATATTTTGTGCAGGTAAGTTAATTGGGATTACTAGTGCAGTATATTTTATATTGTATCTGAAAGCATGGGTATTGCTAGACATACTGAGCATATCCTGCAAATTCTATAGGGCTAGCCAGGTTTTTGCATCATATTAAATATACTTAACATTTCTTAGAACTTGAGAGATGATTTTGCAATATGGTATATTCCAATTCTTCATTTTCCATTTTTTGTATATTCAAATTTATTTTTGTAATTTTTAAAATTTGTTGATAACATTGAATAGTCTAGCCTCTGTAAAAACATTCTCCAATACGTTCAAAGCTATTGAAGTATTGAGTCTGCTAAGGCCAAACAGAAACATAAAAAATGCTTGAGCTGTGTATATTACTGTTATTCAGATATTTTGGATAAATTAGTTTCTCTTGGTAATTTCTTTTTTTTAATGATATATTATTTACTTGTTTCAAGGTGTCAAGTTCTCATGAAATTAAAATAGAATTTTAATTTATTTCTGATTAAGCCCCAAATATATATCATGCATTTGATTACCATGACAGCTGTTTTGTTCTCTTCATATTCAACCTGTGATTGATTCCTATTACAGATTGCAGGATTTATATATACCATATTTTGCTGCTGTAATATAAATCTATATATATATTGTTCAAAATGAGAAAATGGAAAGAGCCCAGGTGTCCCTAATTTCCTTCCAATTTTCTGTTGAGGATATTAAGAAAGAAATCCTCGAGTTTCTTGGATACGTATGTCTTGGATTGGGCTATGTCTTCTTTCCTGTGCTTCTAATGATTTTTAATAATACTTTTGATATAATATTAAATATTAACAGTCAGTTATGGAATTGTACAATTTTCATATATTACTGGCAATTTGTTATATATATGAATAGTGTTTAGGTCATTGTTTCTTGGCATTTGTTCATGTCTTGGCAGTAGAAGAGATTAGCAGAAATTGGTTAGAAAAAAAAAGGAACCATTGTAGATCACAATCTCAATCTGCTAATTGAGGTTGACTTTTAGTAACGTTGGGATGACTTCAAATGGGAAATAAAACACTTCAGATAGTCATTTAATTTAGCCATTATAAATATTTCTGAATGAAGAGAATTAGTATTCTGGTTGAAATTATGCACCAGTTTAGTTTAAGACAGATGCGATTAAAGTGCTCTGTGAGTAAGATTTTCATTAAAAAGTAAGCCAGTAATAAAAAGTAAATATATTCTTAGTTGCATAATTATAAACAAGTAGCTTGTTCTATATTCTTCATAACAACTGAGAGATTTGGGAAAATTCCAAGAAATGGGATTTGTGAACATTGTGTATATTGTGTACATTGTGAACAATGTAAAAAATAGTAAAACTACATAAACTACATAGCAAAAAAGATTGAAAAAGAGCTAAAAAAACCCGTATACCTTGACAAGGGTTCAGGAGTCAGTACTGATTGGTATTTGGATGGGAGACTAGTAGGCTATCCCAGGGCTGTAAGTTAAACTAGGAAGTCAAGAAACTTCCTATAAGAAGGCAACAGTCAACCAATTCTATACTGTCCACATAGATGTGTATACGAAGACCATGGGAGTCATACTTGCTTGGCAGGAGTTTTTTTTTTTTTTCTTGACCAAAATGACAACCATGTGTAATGAATAATTTTTCTATTATGTTTCTCTTTAAATTTAGCAAGTTTTGAATGCTGAGAGCATTTTGTATACTTAAAATACTTATTTAACTTAATAGCAATCTTTGACTAGCTTTATTTTATTTTCAAATTCCATTTGTGTTCTAATATAAAACGAGTAGTTCCAGCTGTGAACTGACTTTTCCAGTTCATATTCTTGGCTATAATGGTACACAACTGCCATGGGCTACTCTGATTGTTCTATTTCATATTCATTCGGAAAACCTCTCAGGATATTCATTTTTATTGCCATAGCTGTGCTTGTCCTTTGTGCTGAAGGTCAGAGTGGTCCCCAGTCATGTTTATATGACTATCCTATGCATTTTTTAAATCAAGACTTATGTTAACCATTATCTTGGAGCATTCACTGGTACAGTTCAGTTACATTTAAATACTTCATTTTCAAAATCTTAATATTATCTTTACTTCTGAAGCAGAATTTATGAGTAAGATTAAGTTGCTATTGTAGTAAAATAAAAAATAGTTCTACATGTTAAAATTCTGTTTAGTTTATTCTTGCATGGGTAGACATTAAATGCTTTCTTTTTCTGGTTTTGCAGGTGTCTGGCATAACTTTGTGCTTGGTGTTGTGGGTCTTGTATTTCTCTTCTTTCTACCTGCTATTCTTTATCCATTTTATTACACTGGTGCAGGAGCACTTGTTACTGAAGTCACTCAGGTAACAGCATTATAAATTCACCTCTTTAGAAGAAAACTTTGTCAAATTTACAATCAAACATAGTGGTGCTTTTTCTTTTTTCTAAAAGTGCTGGTGACATGAACTAGGACCGTGATGGCGAACCTATGGCACGCGTGCTGGAAGTGGCACACAGAACCATCTCTCCGGGCACGCCAGCCGTCGCCCGTTGTTTGTCCAGATTCTGGTGCCCTCATCTGCGCCGGCCAGCTGGTCTTCGCGCACGCATGTACCTGCTCTTCCGGTATCTGGTGCTCATGCACGTGCGCGCTCCTGTTTCAGCACTCGGTGCCGAAAAGGTTCGCCAACACTGTACCAGGAGATTCGTTATTTGGAAATTATGGCCATAGAACTCCTGATGCTCAGTGAAATTCTGTTTTTATGTCATGGTATTAATTTAGTTGGTTTTCCACATTATGTAATTGAAGTAATATTTGCCTATCTCCAGAACTGTAAAGCCTACAAACTTGAAATTTGGCACGTATGTTCCGCTTGGCTTCTAGGTGCTCGCTAAGAAAGGATTTTTCGAAATGACCATCCGATCATTAGTATTTCTTATATTATTATTAACACACTCAGATGCTAAGCAATTAGACGTTCTACTCCGCCTCCCCACCTAAAAAGAACTCTGTCACGTGGGCATGGCCAGTGTGTAACTCATCTGGCCTGCAGGCTGGGAGTTTAGATATTCTACTCCCCACCTGAAAGGGAGAGAAGGGGAAAAGATAGGAGAGGCCTCTGTGGGGCAAGCATGAGGGAGAGAAGGGACTAGGAGAGGACCAATGGGGCTAGCCTGAGGGAGAGAAGGGGATAAGATAGGAGAGGCTTCTGTGGGGCAAGCCTGAGGGAGAGGAGGGGAGAGGAGAGGATCATTGTGGCCAGCCCAGAGAAGGGGGATAGGAGAGGAGAGGCTTCTGTGGGGCAAGTCTGAGGGACAGGAGGGGAGAGGAGAGGCCGATCATAACTATTCATTAATTTTCAAGCTGTAAGTGTCAATTTATCAAGCCTGATCACATAGTTTCATAGCGGAGCACGGGTATCCAGCTAGTATATATCTCTCTCTGTGTGTGTATATATAAAATATATATCCCGTTTCCCTGCAAATAAGACCTCCCTGGATAATAAGCCCAATTGGGCTTTTGAGCGCATGTGCTAAAATAACCTCTCCCCGAAAATAGGCCCTCCCCAAAATTATTTAAATGCATGCGCAGGCGGTCCCCATCATTTCCTCTGGTTAGGGAGACAAGAGCTGGAAATCAGGTAAGATGGCAAGAGAAGCCCTGTCTTGCTCCATGTGCCCCAAAATAGTAAGATGGCAAGAGAAGCCCTGTCTTGCTCCATGGCCTCGAAAATAAGGCCAAGCACTTATTTCGGGTTCAAAAAGATACAAGGCTCTTATTTTTGAGGAAACATTGTGTGTGTGTGTGTGTGTGTCTATGTATCTATGTATGTATCTGTAGATATGTACAGTCAGGTCCAGAAATATTGGGACATCGACACAATTCTAACATCTTTGGCTCTATACACCACCACAATGGAGTTGGAATGAAACAGACACAATGTGCGTTAACTGCAGACCTTCAGCTTTAATTTGAGGGTATGTATATCCAACTCAGGTGAACGGTATAGGACTTACAGCAGTTTGCATATGTGCCTCCCACTTGTTAAGGGGCCAAAAGTAATGGGACAGAATAATAATCATAAATCAAACTTTCCGTTCTTAATACTTGGTTGCAAATTCTTTGCAGTCAATCACAGCCTGAAATCTGGAACGCATAGACATCACCAGACGCTGGGTTTCATCCCTGGTGATGCTCTGCCAGGCCTCTACTGCAACTGTCATCAGTTCCTGCTTGTTTTGGGGGCATTTTCCCTTCGGTTTTGTCTTCAGCAAGTGAAATGCATGCTCAATGGGATTCAGGTCAGGTGATTGACTTGGCCATTGCATAACATTTCACTTCTGTCCGTTCAAAAAGTCTTTGGTTGCTTTTGCAGTATGCTTTGGGTCATTGTCCATCTGCACTGTGAAGCGCTGTCCAATGAGTTCTGCAGCATTTGGCTGAATGTGAGCTGATAATATTGCCCGAAACACTTCAGAATTCATCCTGCTGCTTTTGTCAGCAGTCACATCATCAATAAATACAAGAGAACCAGTTCCATTGGCAGCCATACATGCCCACGCCATGACACTACCACCACCATGCTTCACTGATGAGGTGGTATGCTTAGGATCATGAGCAGTTCCTTTCCTTCTCCATACTTTTCTCTTCCCATCACTCTAGTTCAAGTTGATCTTGGTCTCATCTGTCCATAGGATCTTGTTCCAGAACTGTGAAGGCTTTGTTAGATGTTGTTTGGCAAACTCTAATCTGGCCTTCCTGTTTTTGAGGCTCACCAATGGTTTACATCTTGTGGTGAACCCTCTGTATTCACTCTGGTGAAGTCTTCTCTTGATTGTTGACTTCGACACACATACACCTACCTCCTGGAGAGTGTTCTTGATCTGGTCAACTGTTGTGAAGGGTGTTTTCTTCACCAGGGAAAGAATTCTTCGGTCATCCACCACACTTGTTTTCCGTGGTCTCCCGGGTCTTTTGGTGTTGCTGAGCTCACCGGTGCATTCCTTCTTTTTGAGAATGTTTCAAACAGTTGTTTTGGCCATGCCTAATGTTCTTGCTATCTCTCTGATGCATTTGTTTTGTTTCTTCAGCCTAATGATGGCTTGCTTCACTGATAGTGACAGCTCTTTGGATCTCATCTTGAGAGTTGACAGCAACAGATTCCAAATGCAAATAGCACACTTGAAATGAACTCTGGGCCTTTTATCTGCACATTGTAATTGGGGTAACAAGGGAATATCATACACCTGGCCATGGAACAGCTGAGAAGCCAATTGTCCCATTACTTTTGGTCCCTTAACAAGTGGGAGGCACATATACAAACTGCTGTAAGTCCTACACCGTTCACCTGAGTTGGATGTACATACCCTCAAATTAAAGCTGACAGTCTGCAGTTAACGCACATTGTGTTTGTTTCATTCCAACTCCACTGTGGTGGTGTATAGAGCCAAAGATGTTAGAATTGTGTCGATGTCCCAATATTTCTGGACCTGACTGTATATCTTCAATTAAAACTTTGTTTTTTTCTACATTGAATACTCTTTGAAGTGGAAAGATAGGATATAAAATAAAGAAACTAAAGCTCTGTTTCACAATAATTCACTTTATTACTACTACTTTTCTTTGCTAAGATATGTGTGGTATTTTTTTTTATAAAAAGTTTTTTATTTCTTTTTAAGACAAAAAATATATAATACATCAGTTTTTCCATGTGTCATCTCGGTGTTTCTTCGATAACTTCTCTTTGTTACTCCTCCTCTTCTTATTTCTTCCTTAATAAATCCCATTTCTCTATTTCAATATTTCCCCCAAAATACATATATTTAAAGTAACTTTCTCCTGTTTGCTTATCAAATTCTTTATCTATATCTCTTTTCTATCCAATCATAAAATTTCCCCCATATCTTAAAATATTCCGTATCCTCTTTCTCTTTAATCAATAAAGTTGATCTATTCATCTCTGCGCAGTCCAAATTTTTCTTTTTCTTTTTTTTTAATTGAAAAGTTTTACAAAAAAAAATACAAAAAAAATTTTCCCCCTGTTCCCCCCACCCTTTCCCCCTTCATCCCCCCCTCCCCCCGACTTCCCAGAGCAAAATACAAGGTATTTCATTTAATCAAACATAAACTAGATTTATCTACTTATCCTCAAAGTACTACCTCCCCCACTGAAACCTTAACTCCACAACAGATAACCAAATACTTCTAATGCTAACATTCATTCATAAGCTATTCGATGTTTTCTTGTCTGATACTTATTTTGAATATAATCAATCCATCTTCTCCATTCCGATACTTATCTTTTTTGCATGTGGTCCTTCAAGTACGCCGAGATTTTCGCCATTTCTGCTAGGTTTGTTACTTTCAATATCCACTCTTCAATAGTAGGCAAAGAGTCCTTCTTCCAATATTGAGCTACCAGCAGCCTAGCTGCTGATATTAAGTTCAAAATCAATTTAGTCTCTGAAACTGTACAGTCCGTAGTTATACCCAATAGAAACAATTGAGGAGTAAATTTCAACCTTTTCAAAATGTTCTGCATCACCCACCAAATTTTTATCCAAAATGCCTTGATTTTCTTACAAGTCCACCATATATGATAATAGGTTGCATCAATACATTCACATCTCCAACATTTTGCTTGCAAATTCGAGTACATACATGATAATTTTTTAGGATCTAAGTGCCATCTATAAAACATTTTATAAAAATTCTCTCTCAAATTTTGTGCTTGCGTAAATTTAACATTTCTGACCAAAATCTTTTCCCACGTTTCCATCATCACTGGTTCCTGAAAGTTTTGTGCCCATTTAATCATACAATCCTTAACCAATTCAGTTTCTGAGTCTATTTCCAATAATGCATTATACAACCTTTTAATATGCATCTGACTTGGATCTCTAATCTGTTTCACCAAATTTTCCTCATTTTGCATAATCCCAATTTTTTGATCCTCCCTCCATCTAGCTTGAAGCTGACCATACTGAAACCAAGTATAAATTATCCCTTCTTCTTTTAATTCATCTAGAGATTTCAATTGCAACTTGCCCCTTTCCAAAAGAAGAAGCTCTTTATAAGTAATCACCTCTATTTTTTGCTCTGTACTTATATTTTCTATTACATGTCTGGGGTTTGCCCATATAGGTATCTTATAGTTCAGCTTATATTGATACTTTTTCCAAACCCTCAACAATGCATTTCTAAGTATATAACCCTTAAACACTTTATCCACTTTTTTTTCATACAACAAATAAGGATGCCATCCATATAACAAATCATAACCTTCTATGTTTAACATTCTTTCTTCAGTTAAGTTAAACCAGTCACTAATTTGTGATATAGCTGCTGCTTCATAATACAATC